GCCAAACCGGGCCTGCCCACTTCCTGGTGCAGGTATCTGGGGACGAGGCCATGGACAGCTGTTGAGTGTGCTGTGTGGGCACGTGCCATGCGCACAGGCAGCAAAGCCCCGGAACGGAGCCAGGAGGCCATGGGAGAGCAGGGGCCCTGTGTGCTGGGACCCCTGGTGATCCGTGGTAGTTGCAGGAGGAGCTGTGTGACTTCTCTTGGGATGCCAGCAGACACTGCCTTACTCATCTAATGCAGAGAGGAGCAGACAGGCAAACTGAGGCCCAGAGAGGGAGGGGACTTTCTTCTTCTTGTTGTTTTCGTGGTTCTGGGAATTGAACTCAGGACCTTGCGCTTGTGAGGCAGGTGTTGGCACCACTGGGCTAAATCCCCGGCCCAAGGGACTTTCTTGTTTTTAGTTATTATTATTATTATTTTTGTTTTGTTTTATTTATTTTTTTTGTACTGGAGATTGAACTCGGGTCCTTGCGCTTGCAAGGCAGGCCACCAAACCGGTGAGCTAAATCCCCAGCCCTTTTTTTTTTGTTTTTTTTGAGACAGGGTCTCACTATGTAGTTGAGACTGACCTGGAACTCACTTTGTAGCCCAGGGTAGTCTCGAACTCACAGCGATCCTCCTGCCTCAGCCTCCCGAGTGCTGGGATTACAGGCATGAGCCACCACGCCTGGCCTCATTTTTGTTTTTAAACAGCAGGGACTACCACCCCAGTTTCTGGTTGTATGTGCTAGCATCTTGGCTGCACTTCTTCTGGGAATCCAAGAGGCAGGAAGGAGGTTTCAGAGCCAGCACCAGTCTCCCACAATCTCCCACCACCCACTAACTCAGGGCGCATTTGCCACAGGGAGCTTCTCAGGGACTCATCACGCCCGTCCTGCAACTATCTCAGCCGTAGGGCCCTCTCTTCTGCTGTTCCTTCTTTAAAGGGCTCCTTTGCCAGTTGCCCCTGTGTCAAGGCCTCATCTCCCAATGTTCCTTATCTAGGGTTCCTCCCATCCTCTCACTCGGAAAACCCCTGCGTCCAGTGTCCCTGCCTCTGGACCCTGCCGTCCCCTCCCCTGCAGACCCATGTTCTGCCATGGCCATGCTGTGGCACCTCGAGGCCTTTGTATGTCTTCTGCTAGGAGCGGCTGGTGGAACAAAAGGGCCTTCACCCACTTCTGAGGAAACTGAGCAGCTCCTGTAACCTCAGGCAAACCCAGACTCTCCAAGCTGGCATGGAAAGAGGCAACTGGACCTCTTTCACTGACCCAGTTCCCAAGATTCCTCTGTCCTGGGGGCTCTTTGACTGTTACCTCTGCACCCTCACTGCTTTGAACTCTGGTACTGCTCCTGCATTAATGCTCAGGCTGGTTGTACCTGCGTGGTCCTCTTGATTTCTGAAGCAAGGCTGGACCCAGGTTGGAAGACCTGAGCAAAACATACTAACAGCCTGGGGTGGCAAAAGGGAAATAAACAGAAACTATTTAAACTTGTCTTCAAAAGTCAGCTATTTGCCGGGTGTGGTGGCGCTCACCTGTAATCCCAGCACTCGGGAGGCTGAGGCAGGAGGATCACTGTGAGTTCGAGACCAGCCTAGGCTACATAGTGAGTTCCAGGTCAGTCTCAACTACATAGTGAGACCCTGTCTCAAAAAACAAACAAACAAACAAAAAAAAGTCAGCTATTTGATCAGTTTGGAATCTGCCCAATGGGGCCTCCCTACCAAGGGTCCACCAGAGCTTTTGGCAGGGCCAGTCTTCCCCCACTCCTGAAGAAATATCTCACGGGCTTCAAAACAAAATTTAAGGGGTGTGGACCTTAGAAGAAAAAAAAATTGGGGTTAAAACTTCACCTGGAAGATGAGCGTGGCAGTGCATGCCTATAATCGCACCACTTGGGAGGCTGAGGCAGGAGGGTTTTGAGTTCAAGACCAGCCTGGACTACGTAGTGAGTTCAAGACCAGCCTTAAGTACACAGTGAGACCCTGTCTCAAAAAGAAAGAAGGAAAGAAAGACAGACAGGAAGGAAGGAAGGAAAGGGGACAGGCAAATGAGCGTGAGGGGGCATTCCTGTAATCCCAGCACTTCTGAGTGCTGGGCAGGAGGATGGGGCACCTAGTCTGGGCTACATAACAAGTTCAGGAACAGTCTGAACTGCAAAGAGAAACCTTGACTCAAAAAAAAAAAAAAAAAGTGAGAGAAAGAAAACTCATTTGGATATCCCTGCCCCACCTAGCTTTGGAGAATTATAATCTGAGGGGAAGTGAGGAAAACTGCCTGATCTGGAAGGCTCTCCAATTGAGTAGATTTTTTTTTCTTTTTCTTTTCTCTTTCCTTTTTTTTTTTTTTTTGGTACCAGGGATCAAACTCAAACTCAGAACCTTGTGCTTAGTAGGCAGGGGTGGTAGGGGTGGTGCCACTGAGCTAAATCCACAGTGAGAATTAGAATCTGAACCCAGTAGGGAGCCCAGTCTTCCTGACACTCCCAAGTACACTTCTTGAGGGCCTGCTCAGAGACACCCCCTTTTCCCACAGTTCACCCAGGCAGGGGCAGGCCATGGAGGAATTTCTTTGAAGACTGAGAGAGAGAGAACCATGGTTGTGAGACCTGGGAAAAAGAGTGGCCCAAGCCTCAGACGTTAGCCACTCTGGAACATCCAAGGGCCAAACAGCCCCTAACATGTTACTGTTAAAATTGAGGAGGCTGGCTGGGGATTTAGCTCAGTGGTTCCGCGGACTGTCTGGCAAGTGCAAGGTACCCAGTTCAATCTCCAGTACAAAAAAAAAAAAAAAAAAAAAAAATGAGGAGACTGAACTGTAGAAATAACCAGAATATTCATAATATAATGGCAATAACACCTATATTTATTGAGCAGTTACATAGTGTCAGGGCTCCTTCAGGCACTTTATATGCACCATTTAACTGAAACAGTAACCCCATTAGTGTGGTACTGTCCAGGTGAAGACACTGAGGTACAGAGAGGTGACTAGATCAAAGCCACACAGCCCTTGGGGCCAGGGATTTAGCTCAGTGGTGCCGTACCTGCCTTGCAAGTGCCAGGTCCTGGGTTTGATCCCTGATACAAAATAATAATATAATAAAAATCTATCACAAAGCTACACCCCAGATTTTCTACTGAGTCCAACTCCAAAAATTCCAGCTTTTTTGGGGGGATAATAATCCCCTCTTTAAAAAATTGTTAGTGTGGGCTAGAGATTTAGCTCAGTGGCCACTGCCCCTGCCTTGCAAACGAAAGGTCCTGAGTTCAATTCCTAGTACAAAAAAAAATTATTAGTGTATGTTTGCAATACATAATAAGTATATTCATCATGCAGTATTGGTATTGCATCTTGATCTTTTTCATTTCCCCTTCCCCTCCTGTCTTTTTCTGTCCCCAGATCTCCTTCCCATCGCTACGAAGTCTATCTTCCTGTTTTCTATCGATATAGGACATCCAAAATGATATAGGGGAAATACAATTCCCAACCTACTAGATGTCAGAAATGCCGAGTTTCCCAAAATCAAAGAGTGAATTCTAAGGAACAATGGAGGTTAAGAGCAGAAAATAACTGTTGAGAGGAAGAAATTTTGGCTCCTGTGAGACAGGAGGGGGCCCCAGTGGGTTGCTGGGAGCCCCACTTCACAGGGGAAGTTTTATGGAGCAAAAGCATGAGGCAGGTTCCACGTGGGACAAAATTATAATCAACCAATAATATTACAAATAGAGCTGCTTAAAGATTGATCCAATGAGGAAGCAAATCATGTAGGAAGTGTACATGGAAAGAACAAAACTTTTTGAAGGGAAGGACAGATCCAGAGGTCTTGGTCACTCACCAGGGTGACTGATGTCTCTGTAGACTTTATTGGACCAGGTGATATCGCTTGGGGAAATATGTAGGCCTGGTTATTTTGTCTTTATCTTGAGGCCTGGCCCCCAACAGATGTGCCTTCAGCCACAGTTATAATGTGTTTCCATCTTCTGCACTGACTCAAGGACCCAGTCCAATATGACTGCCTACAGTATTTCTACCTAATTTAGCTGTCTATCATACTGTCATCTTTCTTTTAGTATTTTGCTCTTTAAGTTATTTATACTTTGGTCTCTCATATGAGAGAAATCATGTGATATTTAACCTTCTGCGTCTGATTTACTTCACTTAGGATAATGGACTTAAGGTGCATCCATATTCTTAAAATGACTCAAATTTATTCTTCATGGCTGAGTAGTAATCCATTGTGTATATTTACCACATGATAATTCCATCTTTTAAGTTATTGACCCCTCTTTTTTTTCAACTTCCCCCATCCAGAGGTATGGGGGCGGTATGGGGACATCCTTAATACTAACCTATTCATTCCTGGGGAGTCCAAGGGTGGGAGATCTTTGCTCCAGCAATCACAATCCCTTCCCCAGCACCAACCTCTTGAGGAAGGAATTTACTCCCATAAATTGTCTACAATCTTGATACTCAAAAAAAATTTGGTCCACAGGCCAGCAACAGCAGCATCACCTGGGAAGTTATTAAAGATGCTAATGATGGGCTCACTCCAGACCCAATGAGTTGGAAAATCTGGTTGGGCCCAGGAGCAGTGTTTTATCAAGCTTTCCAGATGTTTTTTATGCTCTGTACAGTCAGGAAGACCGCTCTGCGTGGAGGCCATAGTGTCCCCGGAGGGAGTACACAACATCCGCTTCTGTCATTCACTTGCCCAACTCCACACCGGGCTCCTGGAACTACAAATCCCGGGCAGCTCTCGTTCTTTACAGGACTACATTTCCCTAGGTGCCTCGCGAGCCAGACCGTCATGGTGGCGCTCGCTCTGCCGACGACGCCTGAACCACAACTCCCACAATGCTAGGCGGTGCAACTACCGCCCCCTGCGGCTCGGGAGCGGCGCCACGTC